TGTGAGCACAGCACATCGTTGCATGTTACAGACGCAACCATCTGTACATGTTTGCTCATATTTTGAGTGGACCGTGAGAAGTAGGTCAACTTACATAAGGCAGGGAGGAGAAACTCTGAGATTACAGAGAACAGATGTCAGCTTTGGCTTCTGGGCAGCTTGGTCAGCTGAAAAGATTAAGAACAGATAATGAGCACTGTGCCTCCTTCATGGTATCAAAGGAGAAGAGGAGGAAGAGAGCACCAAACCTCCTCAGACCTAAAATCATTCAGCACGATTGAACAGAGGCTGAAGTGATGATTAAAATTACAGGAGGAGGGTTAAACTACTGGAATAGCACAGCCCACTTTGTTCTCTGCAAGCAGACCTACCCCTGAGATTTTCCATTTGCAGCACATTGATGTGAGCCTCTGCAGATCACCCCGGCTGCTGGAGAGGATGTGGGGTACACTGTATATCTGTCACTCAGGACTGAATCTCCCTGCTTTGTGGCTTGAGTACTTCTTCAGAAGGCTCTCAGCTGACTCCCTCTGCCAATGACAGCCACTTTGCCAAGATGGGATTCCTGGGTGTACAGGGAGGAAAACTCCCATGCACTAAGTAATCTAAGGTTGTCTCAATGTGGGCTGTTTCTGAAGGGCTACTCTAATGTCAGAGCTTTTATTTGGGGGCCAATAAACTCATGGATGAACCTCAAAGGAAAATTCCATTCTCTGTTCCTTGCAAGAGACAGCCTTTATGGCCTCACATTTGGGCTTCCTTTTGCCCATATCTGCAGAGCATTTGTCACTTAGGACTGAGATGTTAGCTGGTGAGGCCTGGCTGCTCTCCAGACTAGGCTGAGCCATCACAAGGACATGGACTTAGGAACTGGAGCAGGAGGCTGAGTGAGGCCTGGGCCAATGCACAAAGGGGACATATGGACTGCTGCCAGGTTTGCTGGGAAGTGGGGGTGTCTTAGAAGGAGCACCCTATGTGGTGGAACCTTAGAAGGGGCAGTAGCAGAGATGGGAAACTCATTCATGATTGTGGTATCACAGGAATCTGCAAGTCTTTCCTACTAGAAACACCACTGAGTGTGGGTGCATACTCTTTCAAATGGTACCAGTCAACAGTGTGTAAGGAGATATGTTTCTGTGGCATTTGCCAGAAAAAAAATTTAAGAACTACAAATTGTAGTGCAGTAAATTTCAGACTATGCTCTTCCCCAGACTCAGTCTGCCTGAGGATTAAGATGCACATTGCCAGGCTACACCTTCAGAGTTTCTTAATCAGTAGTTCCAGCATGGAGCTGCAATGTGCGTCTCTGGTAACTTACCTCAGGAGCTGACACTTCTGGTCCCCAGGAAAAAAGGATGAGACACTTGAAGAACATAGTCAGCACCTGTATCTTTTCATTCATCGTGCCTCTGCTTGCTCAGGTCTTCTTTCTAGAATCTGGCTGGGCTTTTTGCATGGCCAGGACTGGCACTCTGCCTATTCAGTCATAAGCAGAGCTGCTGATCCTCGCAGGGACAGCCGGGAATTGGGGTTGATAAGCAGGGTTGGGGACTGTGCAGTTTGCACGGACTATGAAGCTGACTGCAGGGGGCGACAGAGGGACGGGAAATCAGCCCATGCAGTCCTACTCCACTGGGTGCAGACAGGGGCTGCTCTTGCCTAACAGGGATGTTGCACACAGGCTCCTCTGCCCCTCAAGCCACTGGGTGTGGGAAGGGATTTGTCGTCTCTGAATGTGGGCAAAGGACAAGAGCAAGCTTGCGCAATCCTAAGTTGCAGAGGCAAAGTGAGCACCTATACGAGAGGCTCTTCTCAGAGCCACTCAAGCCCTGGGGTCAGGTGTAAATCCAGGAAGAAGGGCGGGGCTTCCTCTCAAAGAGAGTGACACTGGGATGGTGGCTGAACTAATTTTTCTTTGCCTTAGAAAATGCATATTTGTCTTAGTTGTAATTTCCTCCACCTATGGTTAGAGCAGCTCATTACCATTTGTTACCTGGTTTACACCCCCTGGGGCTAGAGCACACAGAATTCAATTTGCCAGGGACCTCCCTCTAGTCCTACTGAATCAGAGAACCTGGGTTGTGGTCCGGCTGGCTGTTCTAACAAGCTCTCACCGCTCAGGTGATTCTCATAGGTGCAGCTTCAGCGTCTGATTCATTGATTGATTGATTGATTTGTGAGATAGGTCTCACTATGTAGTTCAGGCTGGCCTTGAACTTACTATGTAGTCCAGGCAGCTCTCAAACTTATGGCAATACTCCTGCCTCAACCTCCTGAGAGCTAGGATCACAAGCATGCCCCAGGATGCATGGCTTTCAGTCTCTTATTTTAGAGAGTTTCTAGGTAATCCATGGCCTCCTTTGACTACAGGGTCTATATTGGAACAGTGATTGGTGATCTTGACTTCTGTCTTACTCCAGGATGCTATGAAAAAGATAGATCTTTGGTAAATGGGAAAGGGAGTAAGAGATGGAGGGAAAGGGAGGAGATGAGAGGAAAGGCACACAACAAGAAATAAGGTGTGTCATGTACATGCACCTGCTACCCACAATAAAAGTATTCATGATGTACTGAAAACCTGTAGTAAAAATAAAATGAAAGAAAAAGTACTGTAGACTGGGCAGTTTATAGATGATGGATATTTATGAACAGAGTTCTGAATGTCCTTCTTTCGGTGGAGCTCGAGCATCCATATGTATTAACATAAGATTCAGTGTCTGCTCTAGGCTAACTTTTTGGCCCATAGATGGTGCCTTCCCACTGTGTCCTGACAGAGTGAAGGAAAGTGGTCCTTGGCTTTTTTTTAGGAGGAATCTTGTCTCCCTTCTCCCTGAAGTCCCACCTTTTCAGACCTTCACAATGGTAGTTAGATTTTGAATGTATGTGTTTTTTCACCCTATAGCAACTTCTCCAGTGATCGTGTTAACGTATGGACACTTGGGTTCCACCCAGAGAGGGTCTGAGCCAATTGTGATGTGCCTGTGTGGGAAACAGACTTGTGAAATTGACTCACTGCTGGTACTCAAGGGCAGGAGAGGCCAGGAGCCCCTGTCTAGAGGCAGACAGGGCAGACTCTTAGAAGGACATAAGTTAAGGGGAAGTCAAAGGAGGTGGTGGGGAGCAATCGGTTCCTTCTGACTGACAAAAGCTTGGGTTTGTGGCAAAGGGCACCGAGGCTGGGGATGTCATTTTAAATGAGTTGCTCCTTGTTTGAAGGGGGCCTTCTGGGGCCTGGGTTTCCCTGAAGAACAACGATGCTGCATGGCAAAACAAGGATTCTGGTGCAGTGTGGGATCTATAGGAGAGAGGGGATCCCCCCCGCCTCCCCCCGCAGCTCCAAGTTCCTGTTCCCTGCTTCCCAAGTATAACTGGGTTTTTGCCTTTGATCTTTCACCCTCCTCGGCTTAGTACTCAGTTTTTACGTTATCTTTTAACTTGTGAAGTACATGTTAGTTGTCACTGAAGACAACGTCTTGACTTAGCCTGGATGTTGTCGCAATTTCCGGAAAGGGCAGAGGAACCTGTGGCCAGCGGAGCCTGTGGCCAGCGTGTGGGGCCACCTTCCCTGACGGTCCCTGTGCACACACCCGCTGATGAAGGAGCTGCGGATGGCTGACACCCTGCTTTCGGGCATGCGCAAAGTAGGGTTGAGTTTTTGACTTCAGCCCTCCAAGACTTTGGCAAGAAGGCTGCACTTTTATTTTCCTATTCCAATGGCCATAGCATTAAGGCCAGAATTAGGCTGCACTAGTGAACAAAATAAGTTTTCTTAAGTGGCAAAACACATAACTTATTACTATTTAAAAATGAACATATTTCCTGGAAGAGCAGGGCAGGAAATACACACCGGAAACAAGTTTTGAAAAAACAATGCTGGGCTGGGGATTGAGCTCAGTGGTGCCATGCCTCCAAAGCGTGAGGACCCGAGTTTGATCCCAGGTACCAAAAAACAAAACAAAACAAACAACAACAACAACAACAACAAAAACCCCAGTGCTGCTTGAAATTATATAGAAAGTGAAAAGGGTATCAGAACAGGCAAGTGGTGTTCTATAAAACTTCAAGCAATGTAGAGTGGGAAAGCACTAATTTGTTCAGTTTTAGCACAACTACTATTAAAAAACTGCTATTACTATAGTAATTACACAATTATTATTACAAAAGGGCGAGCAATATAGTCAGGAGAAATCTTCCCTCCTCCTTGCAGCTTGAATTTCATATAGATGTTTCAGACATTTTAAAAATCCCGACAAAATTATAGGCCATACATTTTTTTTCCTGATTCATCTGTTTCAATCCATGCTTCTTTGACAAAATTATTTATCAATGTTCGAAAATAAACATGGTGATTTTCTGGAAACGCCCATGTAAAACTACTCCTGGAAAAGGCCTTTCGGTCCAGGGCTGTCCGTCCCAGGGCCTATTAAATGAGGGTGTGTTCATCAGCCCTGGGCCCTTGGCCGTGGGGCAGAGCCTTCACTCCGCCTTCTAAAGGGTAGGGTTTAGATTGAAGATCTGGAAACCCATAGCAAAGTTTAGGTGGCTAGCAAGGGTTCCAGTGGGTGCTGGAAACAATTTTAGACAAAAAGAACCCGGTGTTGTTTCAGTGAAATCCTTTTATTTCACTGACTCTTCAGAGACAGTAGGTGGCACCGCGCGGCGATCTGAGGCGGTCAGCGCCATCGAGGCCGCTGCAGCGTTGGCACAGGCGGGGACCAGCGCCCGAG